TTACTATATATAATTACTAGTAAATATTATTTTTATATCAGGATTTAAGAGTAAAAGAAATCTTATATATTCTAGAAAATTATATATATTATTATAAAAGAATATAGCTGTTAACAGAATACAGAATTTAATATATAATTAAATATAAGTAAATAAGATATTTAATCTTTTATTATATAATAAATAAATTTTATTAAATATAATAATTTTAAAGCATCCCCCCAGATTACCTAGGAAATCTATAAATATATAAGAATTAGCTGGATTATATAGTTTTTTTTTATTAATATACTAAGTTTTTATTATTTAAAGACCATGGCGGGCTTTTTATATTTAATAAAAAATTATTATAATAATATATATATTTACTAACTTATCTTTAAAGATCTTATATTTTTTTATTAGCTTATTCTTAATATAGTTTCTGGTCTGGTAATATATATTACTATAATAAAATAATATCTGAAATTTTTTAATTATTAATATAATCTCATCTATCCACTATTTAATAAAATAAGATAAAATAATAATAATTATAAAATAGTTCTTCAGAGAGTCTGATTTATCTTTTTTAATTATAGTAAGTTTATATTTAAATTTATTTAATTATTATATTATATCAGCTGTAAAAGTCTTTTATATATTTCTAGAAAAATATTTATATATAAAAGAAATATAACAGCCTTCCAGATCTTCTTAATATTAATAATATCTATAATAATTATTTTATATAATAAACCAAGTCATATGATCTTAATAATATAATTAATATATATAAATTACTAGAATTTTAATTTCTAATTATATAATATTTTTTTTATATAAAAATTTACTAGATTTTTAATATACAGATTCCTGCAGGTCTTTTTATAGTTATTAAATTAATATTTTTAAATATCTAGTTATTCTTTATATATTAAGATCCTTTTATAATCTTTTAATATCAGTTATATAAGTAGATTATTTAAATCTATATTATTATTAAAAGATTATTACAGATTCTCTGTAACTTAGTATATATTTAATTTAAATATATAATTATTAAATATTTTTAAAATATCTATCTTTTTCTTTATATACTTAGATTTTCTTAATATAGTCTTATTATTTTTACTAATTTTAATACTTTTAGTAATTTCAGTATTTTTATTATTTTTAATATTTTTAATAATTATAATTATCTTCTCTGCCTAAGTTATAATTTAAGATTTTAATAATTATAGAGTAGCTTTTATGCGGGTATAAATCTAAAATAAATTTTTAAAATTAAATATCTTTAACTAGTATTTAAAAATTAATTTTTATTAATTATTTAATAATTTATATTTTTAGACTAGAATTTATAATTACTGTGTCTTTAATAAACCTGAAGACTTATTATTAGTAATAAATAATAATAATAATAATAATAAGAATTTTCTATTTAATACTGGTTTTAGAATCTCTTTTATATTTAACTTATTTTTAATTATAGAATTAGTCTTTATCTTAGCCACTTACTATATTCTAATTTTATATATTTTAATAAATTATAATTTTATTATTTTAATTATTAGAATTAGCTATAAAAATCTTTTATAAAATATTTCTGAATTCTCATCTAGTAGGATTATTCTGAAAATAACTTTATTATTACTTAGCTTATTAATTTATAATAAACTATATATTTATATTAGAATATTGTTTAAAGTCTATATTACTATATTTATAATATTCTTAAAAAGATTTTTTTAATAAAATACTTTTTTTAGTCTCTGTATATTTTCTAATCTTATATTATATAAGAAATAAATAAGATATTTATTAAGATTTTATTCTATTTTATTAATATATTAATAGCTATATTTAGTAATATCTTATATTTTTTTTTAATTATAAACTTTTAAATCCAGGTAAGCCTGGTTTCCTGCTTCTGACTATTAATTAAATTCTTTATTATATAATTCTAAAGTTTAAGCTAGTAAAATTTAATTAAATTAGATAGTAATCAGTCTTTCTAGTTATCTTCAGAATTAAATTTTAGTAATTTCTATAATTTTTTCTTATTTTTTTTAATTAGTTTCTGTACTGCAGTTATCTCTGCTATAATTATTTTTATTATATTATTATTTATTAAGAAGGATTCTATACTGCTTTTATTATTTATTTTTTTTATATTAATATTATCTTCTTATATTATTTATAAAAGTCTTCTAGCTTATTTTTAATTTAATCTATTATTATTTTAGTTATTTTACTTTAATATAGAAAGAGAAAACAGAAATAAGAGAAATAGAAAGAAAGAGAATAAAATAAATAAAAAAAAAGAAAAAAAAATAAAAGAATAATATAAAAAGAAGAAAAAGTAAAAGAGTAAAAAGAAAAAAAGATATAATATATATAAGAAGAAAGTAAAATAATAATAAATTAATAATAAGATAATAATAAATAATCTATAGAAAACTCAGTCAGTATAAAAGAGAAATAATAATATAATTTTTTATACATAGATTAAAGATAGAAAAGTAATAGACTTTTAATAGTAATAAATAATTATAAAATAAGCTTTAAATAATTAATCTCTTATTATTTTCTTGAATATAGTTTCAAAGTAATATATAAATATTAATATAATTATTATATACAGTATAACAGAATACTTATAATTTATCTTAGTTAGTAATTATTGGGAACTGTTATGCAACTGGCCATAACTCCCGGCAACTTCCACCAGCGGCCTACTATGTTTAAAAGTAGCAGTGGGTATCTAAATATATTAATTAAAATATGTTTAAACATTGAATAAGTGTTTACTACTTTGTAATTATTCTACTACGTTATAATTATTTTAATTTTTAATAACTAAAACATTATTACTATGAAAAATTATTATATTGACAATATAATTAAGATTAAAGGTTTCCTGGGCTTCCATGTTTTTACATTTAAACTGTTTTATAAGAATATATAAACATTAAACAACATATATATTCCAATTTAGATAGTTTAATCACTCCTTGATATATAAATTATATACCATTAATTTTTTTTCATAATAATAATACTCATAATAATAATAATAATAATAAAACAATATCCACATTGTAAAAAAGAGAATGAGAAGAAAAAGAAAAATAATAGATAGAAAACTTTTATCTCATTTATATTATTGAGAGTCTACTAATATAAATATATTTGAATATATATAAAATTATACAGAAATCATGCATATATTTTATAAGACTTTTATTTTTTATTATTAGATTTCTATTCTTCTGAACCAGGAATGTATAAGACTTTTTCTCATACTTAGATCAGATAACTTATTCCAGCAAAAAAATATTTCTCATATTAAAATAATCCAGTTGACAGGAGTAAAAATACTGAAGTAATATATTATTATAATAATAACTATATAAAAGTATTAATAGTGATTTTGGACTTTTTTCAATATTTATAAAATATTGATTTCTTTACTTGAACTAATCATCTTTTAAGAATTACTTTATTTTATAAATTTGAGCTATCTTTATTATTATTAGATAAATCTATATTATTCAGTAACTGATTTCTTATCTAGTCAACAGGCTTTCTATCCTGACAAGTAGATCCTATCATATTATGATCCTTCATAATCTTCTTTATTCATATATTTTCTAGTTGAAAAATAACGAAATTATATCTGTACATATGAACATATAATGATATCAATCACTATGCAATATGTACAGTTATCTAAATTGATGTCAACATGTAGATATAGTAGTATCCATATTTATCTCATTAATCTATAAGAAAGCAGTAGCATATATGGTATATCACCTACAAGTGAACTAATAGATGCATGAAGTCATATCATATGGATATTATTTTCGGCAATGTACACGAGAAAATTATATAATCTACACCCAAACTCTCACTCTTGTCTATCGATTTGAGAATGTATACTTTCTAGGTATATCGGAGTTTCGATGGAGTAAATGCATTATCTAAAGCAACTACGCGGATTACTGATACTGTAAGTTTGAAAATAAAAGACTAATAAATACTATCTAAATCTGATAAGTGTTTTTCCGCCACTCAATATATACAGTATACTAAAGTTGTGCATCAGATTACATTATAATCTACATAGACAAGAAGACAACCGAAGGGGCGGTGGCTGGGCGGGCAAGGACAAAAGACTTCCAACGAAAAGCAAGAAACACAGCTTATCGCCAACTTACTAAATAGATAGATACTACATCCACCGATCCCGTCCAAATCACGGACCAGTAAGGATCCTAACAAATCTCACGAGCTGCTTAGAGGATTTGCAAGAGTAAGTAAGTAGTCAACGTGGACAAAAGTCCGCAAGCACATCTTGCCGATAGCGTCGTCGATTTGCATACGGCGAAGCCCGAAACTTCTTCGATCGACGATAGTATGCAAGTCAGGAGTTCAGGCCTCGCAATGCCGGTCGCAAGTTTGGAATATCATTTGGAATACAATATGCATCGGTCATGCGGTCTCCGACCTCCGTGTTCCCGATCGCCGGACTGTAAGCCCCGAACCCCGTGCCCAGTCAATCTATAGGGCGTTCAATCATGATGTGACAATGTGATTCGTTCTTGGTTGAGATGTCCAGTTGTACGTACTTATTTTTTCACGAGCGGCAAATGCATATTACAGTTCTACTGGCGTTGTTGTGCTTCCAGGAATAAGGAAGCTTTTACTAGAAAGTGATGATAAAAGTTATGATACTACCAATTTGGACATGAGTGAGAAGGTAATGATAAGATTTTGTTGATGTCCATATCAGTACCTCGTTATTTGATTAACTCTACATATGTTTTGATTGCGGTATTGATTCGGCTTTTTTCATATATATACTTCGAAGTTAGGGAAAGACAGTACAATCCTATACAGGACGCTCAATGAGGTGAAAGAAAACGAATAATGACCATGAATTGGATTACGAACAAATTTTGAAGAAAGTAACAGAGAGAAATTCGAAAAGAAGAAGAGGAAAATAAGGTGGCCACGGAGTAAATGTTGGAAAATCCTATATCTTCCCAAAAAGTCCTTGTGGAGTGGTTGCCTTGCTCAGAAGTGCAACAATACCCCCAAATATGCAAGTAGCACCGGAGAACATGGAAACCTCGAGGTATCCTCCATAGACATCCACGAGTTTGCCGGCAATGGGCGGACCGGCCAGTGCTGCCAGAGCGGCAATGGCTAACGCCATGCCAAGATACGTGCCTGCATCTTGGGAAGATTTCGTGCAGATCGTGCAGGCCGCAGAGCCCCCGGAGATGATTGTCCCCGAGGTGAAACCAAAGACGGCCGAATAGACAATCAATTCTGCATTACTCTCTGCCCGGCTCCAGCAAAAAGTGACTATGCCGTTGGTGATGCCGCCGATGGCAAAGGCGTTCAGGCGGCCGAATCGATCGGCCAGGATGCCGGGGATGACACGGCCAAAGGTTGAGGCGGCGTTCAGGATGGCAAGTAGGTACGAAGCTAGGGTAACTCCCATACCACGAGTAACGGCGTAGGTGGGAATGAAGAAGAAAGGAGGAAACATTCCGAGAAACATGAAGAAGAGAGCGACGACAATCATCAGGTAGGTTGGGTCTCTGAAGGCATCCGCGATGAACAAATTCGTGCGGCGAGGCGGGAGTCGAGCAGTCACCGTGAGGCATGCGAAGGCGAGGAGGGGAAGGATGATGAAGCCAATGATTCGAATGGACCAGCCGAATCCGAGTGAGGTGTGGTCAAACATTCGGGTCAACGCAATTGGGACCACCACGCCTCCGATAGAAGAACCGGAGACGGCCACACCGAGGGCAGCAGCGCGGTTTTTGTCAAAGTATTGGGATACGGCGGCCATGGCGGGGAACTGAAGAAAGCCATTCGCAATGCCTAGCACAACTCCCTGGGCTAGGATGAACTGATAGTACTTGTGGCAGAGACTGGTCATCATCATACCGAAGACGTAAAGAACGGCGGCGGGTCGAATGAGCTAATTGGAAAACTCATGTTAGGATGATGTGAAAGATCCTTCTTTGTTCAGGGAACAGTCAGCTAACTTACCCATGCGCCTACCCGATCGAACATTGGTCCTCCTATAGAGCCAAATGCAAACTGAAGGAAAACAGAAACTGATCCAATCCAGGTGACATCGTCGGCCGAGTATTCTCGAAGTTGGTGAGCCATATAGTACTCCTGCAGTACACCGTATGAGTTCGCAAAGCCCAGGGTTGCGAAGAAGATACATGTTCCGCCCACTGCAACTAGCCATGCCTTGGTGCCACCATCGGGGGCTTGATCACCAGCGAGGGAGGCATTGGATTGACCTTCGTCAGCTTGTATGTTGTCCGGAGCGCTGGCCTCGACGTTGGTCGTCGCCTGCGTCTCTCCCTCCAAAGAAGCCTCCCATTCAGCACCCATGGTGTCTATAAATGACAGCGATACGAAATGGAAGAGAAATTGTCAGTGTAGGGCCAACGATATTCATTTGGAACACTACTACCACTTCGTCGGTATCCTATATATGCTACAAGCTGAAATTGTGATCAACAGACCACAGGTTATTGCTTTTTTCTTTTTCTCGGACAATCATCTCGGGTGGACATATAGCATTACTGTTGTATTCCGTAATAGTATTAGTAGATGCATTAGTAGTAGACAGGACACGAGTGTGGTTTGTTGTTGAGGGCGGGTGAAACGGAGTCTGGAGGTCCGATCTCCGAAGGTAGTTCGGAACATCAGGAACAAAGAAACCTTTTCCACTTTCTGTGTATTATTTCCCCTTGGCCATATGATCTTTTCCTCAGCCTTGACCACTACAGTGGCTATCTCTTAGCATTTCTGGGTTACCCATTATCGATAGGACACGTTCCTTAATGTCGATTATTTGTTGCATAGTTGTAATAAGATTCGCCTTCTATAGGTAACTGAAAATGATGAACCTATTTTTCAATAGAGAGGGGAAAAAATAACCTTTATATCCAGAAAACGGAAGCCAACATGATCTGGTTTGTTTGGATCTACAACAGCAGGAATGTGCGTATGATCATCCATTGGTCGGTGAATAATGCGAACCAAGTCAAAAACATTACTAGGCAACCAATAAAAGCAATTTACTATTTCCCTGTCCATCCCTCCATCTCTGTTACTGCATAATATGTGTGAGACCTTGGTCATTCCATGCCTTATCACATGGCTGTCATATACAGGTTACATGATCTCTTAAACCTAAAGAATTATTAACAGTAATTTCTAAGAAGATAATTAAAATATAGGATTTACTAGGGATAAGACAGGAACCAGCTGAAAAATAAAAGAAAAAAACTAAAAGATGAATAGAAAGTTAGTAGAAGATTAATAGAGAAAGAATAGAATTTATTAAAAAAAATTAATTTTAAAAAATATATAAAATAGCTTAATCTCTAAAAAATGAATAATTTTTTTTTAATTTATTAATTCTTATAAATACACAGGCTTTATTCAGATATAATTAACTATTATAATTTATAGATTCTTATATAACTAATAAACATGATAATGTCTGGTGTCTCATGGTTTGCCAAAGGCAATGGGGAATTGAACTGTTAGTGTAATAGTAACATGTCTGTTCCCAGTTCGCCCAAATGGTTAGCAGAGTTTAGCGTGCTTAGGGGGAAGGATGTTAGACATGAGAGTAACGCTCCTTGCAGCTATAGAAGCTCTGTTATGGGTTTGCATACAAGGCAGATTCAATCACGATTCATGATACGTCATATGAAAGGTAAAGAACCTAGGAAACAACTAAGGCATTGTGAGTGATGCGGCATATGAATTATAGAACATAGACTTATAAATTCTCACTCCCTCTCTAACTATCCCTGCACGAAGAACTTCTTATCTCAGGTTGAAATGATCCAATCAATCAGCCCCCCTGGTGCCAATTCTATAATCACAACACGGTTCTCATTCCACCAACTCCTTCTTTTAATCTCTTACGTGAGTCTGGAGTCCTCGCTACCGGCAACGATTGGGGATACTCGGCAACTAGAGGACATCATCCGCTGCAGTGAAGAGGATTGGGACCCGCAGGTTGGCCTGGAGAGCTTTGCCGACATGAAAGGGAAGACATGGCAACAACTTTGCCAGGACACTCAGCGGTGCTAGGAACAAATCCACAACTATCTGGGACAGTACTGATTCATTAATTCAACCATATCTTGCGATCAACTGCGCAACCATCTCTGCTACCTCCTCTGTGGGATCAAGCAGATATCGGCGCAGAGCCTGAATGCGACTTGTTTGTAGTTACCAAACCATCTGATCAGAGAGCAAGGAAGCCTGGCCCTGATCTGTATTAGTTTATCAGTGATCCTAATCTCGTGTCAAATGGTTTTATTACGGTCATTGCTAGTGGATCCTAATCAGTGTTTGATTAAGGAGATGTGCATCCTGTCACAGGAATCACCCCTCTTTCAGGCTCGGATCTGGGACTACTAATTACGTGAGGCATTATCATCCATGGAAATGTTTTTCTCTAGAGAAGAAGAAAATGGGTTGGGTTGCGGTTCTGTAACAGATGGTCTATCTTGGAGCCAGATTCGACATGTCGAAGCCCATCGATGAGAGACATAGATACTGAGATATTGTTATGACAGAATGTCCATTACCAGAACAGCTAGTACTAAGAGATCCTACGCTAGGAGACAAAACATCCCTCATGCAGCTGGCATCTGCGAAGTATCAGAAGGATCTGTAGTCACGGAAAATACCATAATAGAGGAAAGTTCAAGTGCAATATGACTGTGTTATTCATAATAGTAACAAAATCAACTCTTCCTCTTCTGATATTTTACTCCGCGGGCAAGCACTGCTTTTGGTAATGTATAATCAGTGTGTCAAAATGGTTGAAACTTATAATAAATCAATTAGCAAGTCATTGATTCCATAGAAGCAGGTTGTTGTTTGTTTTATTACAATATTTTTGGTGATTCCTAACCACTGTAGCAAGCGAGATTTGTGCATACATACGACCATGCTCACCGGAGAATAGCGGGTCGCTGCTGAGAAGTCGCAGGCGGGTGAGATTAGTAAATTCCTTAATAGCTAAGAGGTCCTAATAGTCTTGTTTGATACCCAAGTGAAGCAACGGAGTAAGCAGGGCAGTCAGGAGGCTCTAAGGCAGCTCATGCTCAGCTGTCAGGGAAAGGAGTGACCAAGCTTGTCAATTTTTACTTTCTAGTAGAGAAATTGTCACAACAGGACAACGGTCAAATGATGTCTGATAAGTTTTTAAATAATATTATTCAATAGGACTTTCTACAAGGAATATAATAATATAACTTTTATCTCTTTATTCCATTATTCTGAGGAGTTATAAGTATTTAAAGATAGCAGTATATACTTCTAAATTTAATTAGTATATATAACAGAAATTTAATCAGGTTAGTATATATAATAAAAATTTAAATTAGATTAATATACTTTTCCACAGGCATTAAACCTAATTAAATTTATTAAATATTATAAAAATAAATATTACAGTAATAAATATTACTTTAATAAATATTAATTATATTATACTTATAAGCATTACTCTAATAAATATTATACTAATTAATATATTAATATACTTATAGATTCTAAGAATTCTAACCCACCTATACCAGAGGGGTAATGACATTGCAGTGTAATACTATTAGAGTATAAAAATCCCAAATATTTTAATCTACTCTGATTAGTCAGATTACTGGAACAGGAGAGTATAATACTATTATATTTCTGATTATAATATTATTATATTTTAAAAAGATTTTCTATTAAAATTTTAATATATTTGAATTATACTATTTATTTAGTATTTTTTTAAATCTCAGCAGTATTGCTATACTGGTAAAGTAAATAATTATATTTAAATTTAATAAATTAATAAAGAAATATTTTTATTAAAATAATATTTTTTTTAACCCTAAATTCTAATCATGTATAAACTTAGTTAAAATATATATATATATATATATAATATAATTACTTTCTGTAGTCTAATCCTCTCTTCTAATCTTATTTTTATCTTATATTTCTATTTATTCTATATTTTTTTTTCTTTTTTTTTTTGATTTAGCTATTCTAAATATATAATAAAATCTAGTAATATTAAAGCTGAATCCTTTTTTTATATATATTATTTTTTATATCTTTTTATATACTGTGACTATTAATATAAAATATAATTAAATAAGATTTATAGATATCTTAATAATAAATATATAAAATAATTTATATTTAATAAATAGTAGTTAATAATATTCCTTATCTAGAAATAAAATAGTATTATATTTATTAATATTAAATTTATTTTTTTTTATATTTTTTCTGAATCTGTTCTTATTATTTTAGAATTTATAAATAATCTATAATATTATTATAATAGCCAGTCCTGTTTATATAATATATATAATATATATATTATATATAATTACTGATATCAAGTCTATAGATAATCTTAATATAAGTATATTAATAAACTAATATTATTTAATATATAGATTGTTGTGATTAAAGTACAGATATAAATTTATTATATTATTTATTAATAAATATTTTTTATATATAAAAACTTTTATTATATCTATATTCTTAATCTACTTAAAAAATTATCTGAGAAAATATCTTTATTATTAATTAATATATAACAGACTGTAGAGTATATTTTCTAGATATAAAAAATCTATAAAAATATATAAATTTTAAATATTATTATACCAGATACAGCAACTGATACTAATCTATAATTATAATTTAAATAATAAATAATCTATCTATAAGAAATCTAATTTAATAATATTTTTTATAATATTAGTTTTTCTAATATATATAATTTAATAAATCTTATATACTATTTCTTTTTACTAGTAGATTATAACTTAAAGTTTAAAATATCTACTAGAGATTCTTTTTAATTAAAATCTGATTCTGATTATCTAGACTAGTATTATTTTTTTTATTAATAAATTATAATTTAAAATCTAAAATATTTACCAGAGATTTTTTTTAACCAAAGTCTAATTATCTAGACTGGTTCTAATTAAAAAAGATTCCTGATACTAACTCTAGTATAAAGATAATTATATTAATTCTTTAATATATTCTTAATTAGCTAGTATAGAAGAATTAATAAATTATTTAATATTATAAATTTATTATCCAGCTGAAGACTGTATAAATATAAATTAATAAATTATTATATTATATATTACTGGAATATATAAATATATAAAATATCTATAAATATATGATTTTATAGTAGTAAATACTTATTTTTTTTATATAAATCTAATAGTTATATAAATAATATAATTTATTTTATATATTTATTATTTAATAATAAAATAAATAAATATAGTTGTAGCAGGCTGTACAGATCTTTAATAATATATTTATTATTA